TTTTTTTACATATTATTTCATGCATTTAATTTCTTTAACTTTATCAAGTCCAGAAATCTTTGAACGGGTTGGCTATACTTTATGAGCAAGTAGTGACCAATTAAAAATAACATTTGAAAAATAACTTACTTACAAGACATGCAACAAAGAACATTCAACAATGAACAAAGGTACCTAAATGTTACTTCGGTAGATGTTCAAAATGAGCACCCCGTACTTCAATGCACTTTCTAATCCTACGAATGTTTTCCCGGTGCACTTGAAATAATATTCCGTGATTATTGCGGAGATGGTCACAGTTCTGTGTTAACCTCAGCAGAAGTATGTAAAATAGTATAAAATAAGTAAAAACTAAAAAAAATTTATGCCGCTTGCCAAATAAGTTCTATAACGACCGCACAAACGTTACATACTGCTGGCAGACATTTACCCCGCCCCTCCCCCCAAAACCTCCCCAAAGGGGTAACGTGGTTCGTTTGCTAGTGGGCGTTCATTACATTGACAAACATTGACATTGACATTACAGTGGGGGTGGATGAGTTTCCTCATCCTAGAGGAACCACATACCAGAATGAAGAAGTAAACTCCCGTATTGGCAGTCAGCACTTTGAATAGTTTGCTTTGTAACGATCGAGTTCAAATCTTGTTTACAATTTTTACTACTAATTATAAGGCCGGCAAGTTTCAGAAACTTTACTTATGATACTTATTGGTGGATAATGCAGTAGGAAGAGAGGAAATGCAGAAAACTTGTACCAAATAATGCTACGAGTCCCTTATCGAAATCCACTATAACTGATTGTGAAGCTTAATATGTATCTTCTCGAACTAAATCATATTTTTCTAATAAGAAAACAATTCCTATCCTGTAGCATCTCGTTTTAGTGGATTAATCTTTAAAATTTTATCCTTAATCATAAAATTACCAAAAGCCGTCCTTAAAAAATGGCCATTTGGGAGATAGATTCCTCAAATTAAAAAAATGTTTCACCTACAAAAAAAAACATAATTACCCATTATCTTTGGTCGTCTCATCACTGCATTAGCAGAAAGTTTTAGAAAAGCATGTTTTCATCTTCACAAGGTTTCTTCTTTTGTGCAAGTATCTGGGACACACAGACAGCCTTAATTTTGTCAGCGATTTTTAAAATATTGGCTATATTCAGCCGACAGAATCGAGACTTTTTCTGCACGTTTTCCCACTTCTATTATTTCTGGATATTTACAAATAAGAATTTTCTTTTATTTTCGAAAGAATTTTTATATATAAATGGGATGTTTCTCGCAAAATCGATCAAGACTCACCAAGGTTTGGAGACATTTAATAAATGGTTTTGGGCGTACAAAAATTAGTTTTTTCAAGTACCTACCTATTAAGATGTCATGTGGCAGAATTTGAAAATCCAATATGGTGGCCCAATATGGCTCTGGGAGTGTAAAAAAAAATCAGGATTCATTTAATAAACTCCCTCCAGTGAACATGTTACTAATAAATTCGTCTCCAAATGACCTTAATGGGAACTTTCGAGACCGCTGTTTATAAATCTTAAGTTATTTTCAGACGATTCGAGATGGCAGTTTTTATAGGTACCGTGTGTCCGTGGATTGGCTTAACTACCTTGTAAAATTTTTTTTTATTTTTCGACAAAAGTCATTGTTTATAAAAATGTTTGCTTGTCCTGAAACTTCGAAAACCAGTTTCAGAAAACTAAAAATTTATACGGGGCGTTCACAAAATTGGAAAAACCAAAATTGCCTTAAGAGTAAAGTGACACTGAAAGAAATCCACCAAGTGAGGGGTTTTGTTAAGATATTTTAGCTACAATAGTTAAAATTTTTGCTGTCACAGAAAAAAATTCATGCTGACACAAATAAATACGTTTTGCTGAAACGTGTTTTCTACAACAACAAAAAAAAGTCTTGTGGCTATATGATAGTTCATTTGGAATTTTATTTTAGTCGACTGTCTATCTGTCCCAAGTGAGTTGTTTTGCTTGGGTAAGTGAATGTATTTTTTTAGAATTGATCCAATTGGGGTTAGTCAATTCTTATTTGTAGCAAATTAGGGCTCACTTACTGTAACTGAGGCCTCACTTAATAATTTCCAGAATAAACCGGAATACGGCTCAATGCGCATGCGGGATTACGCGTGCCTTATGCTGACCATGGTTTCGCCCATAGAGAAGTTTTCGCCATTTGGCTGTAACACGTAACACGGGATATACGTTCGTCAATCGTTAGTCGTTGGATCCTTTAAATAAATAAATAGATGTTTTGTGATCGAATGTTGAGTCAGTTTTCAGTTTGTCTAACAACCGCCAGAAAGTTTTCAGTTGCGTAGGTATGCAATAGTACTTATATGCATGCGTGATTACATGCACACAATGCAGGCTGAATACAAACTCTTAACTTCTCGATTGGGGATTTCAAGATTATTTATGGTTGTTTAAAAATATGTACAACATTTTTAGTTGCATTGCATGGTGCACGAAAGAGTGAGGAGAGCCAACAACATCGAAAAATAGTAAATACGGAGTTGACTCGCTTGGGGTTAATGAGTTGACTCGCTTGGCAATAATGAGGACTCGCTTGGGGTTACTGAGTTGAGTCGTTTGGGGTTAATGAGTTGAGTCGCTTGTGGTTAATGAGTTGACTTGCTTGAGGTAGCAAAGAGATTATAGCAAAATTGTCGACTTACTGCAAGTGAGTTCCTTCCAGCAAAGCAGTTTTTCTTGTGGTAAGAAGGCAACTCACTTGGCGCCTATTTAATGCAGATATTTTGCTACGGTTAATGGATTTTTACTAACCGTAGCAAAGAAATTTTCTCAGTGGACCTTATTTTAAGGACTACTACAAAATATTATTAATAAAAGTTGTTTCTAATACTAAAGAAATATCAAATATCGAATATCGACAAATTCGGATGAACTTTATAAAATTCTTTTTTTTTTCTCGTCATGATTAATTTGAATTGTATGTTATAGCAAAAAAAATCCTTGAAATTTTTGTGAGAAATGAGTAGGTATATAATTTTAAATTTTACATTTTGAGTTTATTAACGTTAATCAAAATAAGAAAAAAATTAAATACATCGAAAGTAATAATAAAATGAAAGATCCTTTCTTGGAAACACTTCACGAAGTTATATATGTATCTAGTGATAGAATTTTCAAAATATCCAGTGGCATCGAATTTCTGGGGTTTTCAGTGACGGTGACTCCCGGTATCTCCTTCACTGGCATATCCGAATTCAGAAGATTTTAGTCTTTAATTAGATAAATTATTGATAAGTTTCATCATTCTGCATTAAACATTTCCATATATATTTTAGAAAAGGTGTTTTTTTTTTATTTCATCACCCCTTAAAATATTTGAATATATTTAATTAATACCGTGTATAGTCCAACTCGCTATCAGCAACTGATTTATTTACAATTAATGAGCTTTACTTAGGGAATAAAATATCGATCTAACTCACTAAAAATAAATTAAAAAGTTATTTGTTTATTGCTCACTTAACCCCAAGTGGGGTACTCATTCGGGTTAATAAAAATTTCTAGCAAAACTTTCTACTTACTACAAGTGATCTCTATTTTGCTAAGAATATTTCTTTATTATAAGAGGCCGACAACTCACTTGCCACCTATTTAATGTAGAAATTTTGCTACAGTTAATGAATTTTTACTAATCGTAGAAAAAAAAAGATACGTCTCCTCACCAACACCAGCCAAAAAAAGAATAAATTGGGACTATCAACGTCCTATGTGGTCATATAGTAAAAGGATATAATTTTGCTAAAACTGTATTAGGTAATACTGTATTAGGTAGGTAATAATATAAAATATTCGAAGATATTATAACGTATTCGTATTTGCTCTTTATAATTTAAGATATTTGGTAATTAAATACAAAAATTCTAAAAAAGATATTTGTTTATGTGGGTTGTATGTTGTACATGTATAATGTATGGATAATAAAGGGATATATGTATTTATAGGAAAATATCGATAAAATTTGTTGCAATTATTTTTTAATTATTTTTGAGACGAGGTTTAATTATAATTACAAGATCAAATTAACTTACCTGAAAAGAAGTTCTATCTTGATTATATAAAGCTTCGTCGAAAAATCAGCGTGTTTTTTAATGTTCTTTTCTAAACGTTTGACTAGAAATAATGGACTACAATTATTTATTATTTATTTCGACAAGGCTTCATATAATCAAGATCGAACTTTACTTAAAGTAAGTTCGTTTGATTATGTAATTATTAACAAGCATTATCTATACGACTACATATTTGAATTTTCTACAGAAAATATGCTCCAATAATGCCTGAATTAAAAAAATAGATAAATACATCAAACCTTTCTTTTTCAAATTCCGTACTTAGCCCTAATTGGACCGGCTTAAGATAACTGATACCTCTATATAGTTGGGATTTACTTACCTTGCTGTATTTATACCCCTCCAGGTTCATTTTGTTCGGTTAAGACTAACATCAGTTGATTAGATTGTAATTCTTTTCTCCAAGAGTTCAAGTCAACGTTTACTTTATCTGGTAATTCATGAGATATTTTCTTCCCTCGAACTCCTACAAATTTTCCTCTAAATTCATATGGATACTTTTTACCTCTCATTCCAAAAAATTCTGAAGACTGTTTCTTTCCTATAGAGAAAGAAATGAAATTTCATTTTACTTTCTGTCGATGTTTATTGAGAAATTAACTATTTCTTCATGAACATACTTTAAATTATAATTAAATATTTTACATAATTAAGTAAGATAAAAGTTAACTTTAAATTTTAAATTGTCATTATACTTGGTGTAACTTTAAGTGGGAATCAATTTTTTAGAAACAATTCTACGCGCTAGAGAATACTAATCAGAAATTTATATTTTTTACGTCAAAGAAATAGTCGAGTTATAATTCTTTTTTAACCTGCACTTAAACTCGTGTCGAAGCCACCACAAGTCAACCGATCTCAGTTTTATCAGCGTGTTTGTTGTCTTTTTGTTGTTGTTACCTTTTTAAATCATAAAACTAACAAAGAGGCAAAGAGCGAAACTGCAGTAGAAAATAAGTTTACAAAAACAAGTTGCTCTTGTGTGCTGAGGTGGAAAGTGTTTCATTCTTGTCGAGAGAAAAGGATGGAGCCATTTCTCCAGACAAGAATGAAACTTTTCACTGAGGTTTGTATACTATTTTATTTACAACCATACCTTTTAAATGCAACTGCCGGTTTTCGTAAAAACAATAATCAGGTACGTGAGAAATTAACAAAGTAAGATACCTGTATAACCAGATTTCAGATAAAAAAACTGTTAACTTGGAATTTTGGTAATGGCACTAAAAATGTCAAACATACAAACTTAAATTAATTGCATTTTTGATAGATTTTCATCAAAAAAGTGTTTTCGAAGACAATGAGCGATTCAGAAGAAATTATTTGTACTCCTGAACTGAGAGAAGCCGCTGAAGTTTGGAAAAAGATTTGTTACCTAAGAGTCGTCCAAAGTACGATAAAGTTTATGATGTTTTCAAGAATTGGTGCTAGCAAAAAGGTGTTCAGAAAGCTGTTTCTGAAACTATTGTGGTGGTATATTTTAGCGAAATTGCCAAAATCAAAAAGCCGTTAACTCTTTGGTCCATTTACTCAATGTTGCGTATCTTCTACTTTAAATATTAAAGGTAAACTTGATATATCCGAATTTTTTAAGTTATTGGCATTTTTGAAACAACAAAATCTAGGATGTGTATCTAAAAAGTCAAGCACTTTCTCCAGTGAGAACATTGTGGCGTTTTTGAAGAATGCTTTTGATGACCTATAAAGGTTGCATTCATAATTGGTGTATCAGGTGCATGGCGAAGTGACAAACTGTATAAAATTGATGCTAATATCGTGGAAAATAAGATTCACATCGAAATTCCAACATCAAAAACCTACCAGTCAAGAATATTTATAGTGAGTAATGAGTAACGTTTATTGAACCCATAGATCTATTATAGTATACCATTAAATCTATGATTAAAATATATGTTTCACTTCGTTTAGACGTTCTAAAAGAAAACTTCTTTTTACAATTAAGATTCGGTAAAATTACTCGCCAGCCATTTGGCCACAATTCGATAAGTCAATTTCTAAAAAAATTGCATGTTTTTAAAGCTTCCGCATTGTGAAACATACACGGGACACTGCTTCTGAAGAACGGCAGCCACACTATTGGTATGTAGCGGTGGTGACATTCTCCAGTTAAAGAGGTTAGGGGGTGGAAATCTTCCACCGTAGCGGAAGGGTACGTCGACAAGTCTACAAATTCTCAGGTTAAAATTACCACAAAAATATCTGGCAAAATGCCAAACTCCAGTACTAAAAACGTTACCATTTTTACGCAGGATGATCAACATGGATTAACAATTTCTGTTGCCGCTTATAACCAATCAAATCTTACAATTAATTTAGTAACATAATTATTAATACTTAATATGAATAAAATTTGTTGATAATATTTTAATACAATAAGATATTTTTTGAAATAAACATTTTCGTTATTCAATGAATGTAACTCACTGTAAGTTTGGAATATCAACATTACCTATTATGTCGTTGTAAATAAATATATATTAGGCATGATTTAATAAATATTAACTAATATTGGTATGTGGATAGGCATACGTTACTAATAGAAAGTATAATTAATTTATGCAGTAAAATAATTATTTTTGTTGTTTTAAACTAACATTAATTCGACAGTATTAACTATAGTTCGAAATGTTACTGTTTCGTTTTTCAGTATATCAGTTTACCGGGTAGGTATTTGTAATATGGTAGGTAATTGGTGGTAATAAAATGACTTTTTCCACAATAATTCTGGTTATATTTTTCCCACCGTCCACACTCTAGTTCCTTATGTTCATTTCGTATGGTTGCTTAATTAGGAACAGAACCAGAGAAGACAGTAGATGACTTCTTTTCGTAGCAATGAGGCTTGCAGACGGGTTGGAAGATAATGGTCGACCATTTATATAAATTTAAAATAAATGACAAAGTTTTGTATAATATACAGTCCTGGTTGGTAAATAATAGTTAAATTTTATTTAGTTCCTCAGACTTGTTCTTTTACTGTGCTGGGGGACAATTATTTAAGTTTGTATCGAAAATATGTTGCTTTACGTCCAAACGGATTGGTAGACCGTCGATTATTTCTCAGATGTGTTGGTTGAAAGTGTCATCGAATGATGGTCGATATTCATAAAATCAGTGTCGTCTCGCAAAAAGTGGCAATATTTTTGAAGCTCTACAACTGGAAAGAGTACAGTGGACACACATTATGACGAACGTCTGCTACCCTTTTAGTTGACGGTGGTGGTGACCTCACTTGTCTTAAAAGACATGAAGGCTGGAGAATGAGCACTGTGGCGGAAGGCTACATTGAAGACTCACTTTTGAATAAAGAAAATATTGCGAAAAGAATACTGAAAGTTGATAGTGGTAATGATAAATCAAGCACCGTTGTCATTTCTGATTTCACAACATCTGAAAATAATATAACTATTAGTGAATACGTGTTGGACTGCTTTGAGAATTGCTCCAAGAATGAGTGTAGTGTCAGTTTCAGTGGTTTATTTAATTTTAATACTTGTGCAAAATGTGTATTTAATATCAATGTGAATAAATAAAACTTATTGTAAATATTGTTGAATAACCTTTTATAAATTAAAACTTAAATTAAACTTAATCCTTAGATTAACACTTTTAATACTTAGATTAACACTTAATACTTAGATTAACACTTTTAATACTTAGATTAACACTTAATCCTAAGATTTTTTGCATTTCATATCTGCACGGTAACCAAATTTCGGTGGTTTGTGGGAAGCCGCTGTAAAAAATGTTAAACATCACTTAAAGCGAGTAGGTACCGTGGGATGGGGTTACTTTGCTAAAAATAAAAAGTTGCCGAATAATATTTCATTTATATTAGTCTCAAATCTGTTATAAAAATAACCTCAATATCGGATTTCTCCGAGCTATCGGTTCGTCCAGAGTTTTTGCTAAAATATGTTAGATTTTAAAAAATTAATTCCTGAAGACCAAAACAAAGTTAAACCCGAGTGGGGTTACTTTGTCCACCTCATTAATTTTCATGATATTTGACAAGTAACCCCTTATTTTTCCCAGGTATGAAAAATATATATCCGAAACAATCTCACTGGATGACAAGAAAAAAACTGAACTTATAAATGGCATTAAGACACCAGAAATTAGAAACTTAGTGATATATTAAGGAAATATTATCTTTTACGGTACAAAAATATTATTTAACTCTTATAGGTACAAATGTAAAGTAAATATAAATATAATATTCTGCAATAAAAAAAATAACAATTTTTCTTTGCGCAGTTGTAAGTTCTTTAAATAATGTTTTCGCCAAAACAATAATGGCTTCTACTAGAGTTGGTTCAAAATCTTATGAGCTTTGACCTTGATGTGCGCAGAAACATAATCCCGGCCGTCGCGCGTCGCCTAAATTATTCTACGTCCTAAAAACATTACATCCATTATTCACAGTCTATCTCGAGCTCTCGTAGCGTAAACAAGCCTTTGCTCCGATTACAAATATCATAATAAAGTGCTCTATTCTTTATTATTTTAATTTAAGCAATAAAAATATATATAACGAACGTTCGCCAGTTGACTTTATTGATGCCCGATCTAAGCGCCTTAGTTCATTTCTGTTTGTAATGAGGCACGCGGTCTAATTCTGAGTCAATGTTTTCACAACGTGCTTATTAGAAGAATTATGTGGGTACGCCACGCCTTTCACGCATTTTGCGGCTCATGAGATTTTGAAACTACTCTAACAATAGATTGCCCCCTAAATCTTATATTACTTAGGTAATGATACTTCGCAGACTTTGATAATTTTCAAAATTGCCCCACTACATCGATCAAAGTTACCCCATTACCCCGATCAAAGTTACTCCACGACAGAATATTTAAATTTTCGGCCATATTTACCATGCAATATTTTTCAGTTTTTAATATCTAATGGTTTAACATTGTTGTACAGCAAAGACTATATATTACCTTACTCCAAGTGCCTGTTTCTCTTGTGCATTTGAAGTTATATTGGTTTCAAAAAAGGGATAAAATATCGTTTTTTAAATAAAGGCCTGGTACACTCTACAAACATCACTGGTTCACAAAGGAACGATCATAGAGAACATAGTAGTACTATATTTTCTATGGGAACGATTAGACATGATCGCACTAACTATGCGGAGTTGCCATATTATGATATCTGCCTAATATCTCGAGAAATGTCGGAAGGAAGAATATAAAATAAGATCATCAATGTTTCTGTCAAAGTAGCCCCTGAAATTGAAAGTAACCCCATCCCACGGTACTTAATAATATAATTTTAACATTTGAAGAATATTATACGTTTTTAACAAATATTGAAGCTGTTTTGAATTCCTGACCATTATGTCATTTATCCGATGATTCAGATCTGTTATCAATCGTGGGTTCTCTGGTGTTCCTAAAGGAGGACAACGCTCCTTCACTTCATTGGCCTAAGGGAAGAATCATTGCCGTTCATCTTAGAGCTGATAAAAAGGTGCGCGTCGTATGAGTTAAAACTAAGCACGATGTAATGAACCGTTCAATTGGGAAGGTGTGTTTATTTCCTTGTTGAAATTAGTGTATTTGGTGCAGATTACCTCACCACTTTTCTTTGAAAGGGGTATGTTCGGTAAAATATGCCCGTTTATGATATACACCTGTTAATACGTTTCAAATCAGGGACCAGGGAGACTAAACAAGGAGCACGAACTCATACGGGAAAATTGACAAAATTTGTCACTTACAGTTGCACAAGAGGTATTTTACAGGGTAAATTTGGGTGATTTAATGAGAAACTGTTGCCTAGTAATTCAAATTGCTAGAGGAAATAGTTTAGAATTTAAACAACACGAATTTACCCGGTATCAATACAAACATCGGGTGTAATTCGGCATGATAATTTAATGAATATAAACCTAAATTGATATTTGTAATCACATTAAAATAATATTACAGTAAATGCTTAAAGTGACTTCCTTGTTCTTAGGAAATTAAATTGAATTTTATTCAATAATTGTGCATTACCTCTTATAGCATTAATTTCATTTTGTATTCTTTCCCATAATTCGTTTTCTGTATTTACTGAAAAGCTGTAAACTGTTGTCCTCAATGCTCCCCAAAGGAAATAATTACATGGGTTTAGGTCCGAGGATCGAGGTGGCCATTCTAAAAGAGCATTATTTCCTTCATTTGTTAAGACAGTGCTCATCTAAGTATTGCATCATGCATGAAAATCGTATTCATTCGTAGTGTTATCGGCAACTCTGCAGGCAGATAGGGTAACCTTGTTTGGAGAAATTCTAAATAATTTTCTGCGTTCAATGTAGCAGGTAATATAACAGGACCAATTAAAATACTACCAATAACACCAGTCCAAACATTAATCTTAAATTCATGTTGGAACCGTCTTTTACTGATTCCATGTGGAGTTTCATAACAATTCATTATGTGAATTGAAAATACCCCTTCTAGTAAAAGCGGTTTCGTCTGTAAACAGGATTTTCTTGTGGATATTATCGTCTCTATTTCCTGAGTTCCTGAATACTTTGACTGAAAGCAAGACGTGACGGAGGATCTATTGGTAGGTAAAAGTTCTTGAACTGATTGAAGGTGGAATGGATGTAGTAACTGGTCTTTTAATACTCTATTAACGGAACTTTTTGAAAGCCAACCTCTGCTGCTAAACGCCTTGTACTTACTTGCGGAATTTCTTCGACCCTATCCAATATTTGTTCTTCCAGCTGAATAGTTCTAGCCGTACGTTGTCCGCTATTTAATGTTACAGGTAAAAAACGTCATATTTCCCGAAGGCGCCTCTCCACATTAGCAAATGTTTTGTGATCTGGAATTCTTCGATTAGGAAATCTTTCAGTATTATGTTCGAACACTAGCACAACAATTTCCTTCACAATAACCCAAAACTTGTAACATATCAGTTTGTTCAGCAAAAGTATAAATTGCAACCATAGTAAAGAAGATATTAAAAAACAAAGTAAGCTAAAATTAAATGACACCTAGCTTGACACTGAACCTTTTAATAATTATTGTTATGAATTTGTTTCTTTGTTATGTGGCACCTCGTACTAGATTAATCTAATTATCTTGAACTGATTTTATATTATTTAGTGTGTAAAATATGCCAATTTTATTCGAAATCCATAAACGATATAAAAATTTTGTAAGAGACAAAAAATCTTCTAAAATAATGCTTATTTTTTAAAATATAAATTCTGTCTTCATTGGCGTACACACAAAAAAGTTACGGGATAACCAGTGGAGCACTGTATAATTATTCTCACCAAATTCTATATTTTCTTAGCAAAACTGTTTGCAATATTATTTGAAAAAAACTAGATTATCTGTTATATATTTAGAAGGCTATATCTCAGTAGGCGTGCACTTTTGTATATAGGTAAGTTAGGTTAAATATTCTTATTTTCATTCAAGGTCCAGCGTTGTCCATCATTTTCATGGACACCCTGTATATCTACACGTTTTTAATGGAGTTGATTTTTTTTTGTCTTCTGGTATCTATATTATTTTTGTAAAGTCTTTGTAGATCACAAATTCGTCGTCTATTCCTCTGCCATTCATCTGCATGCAATTAAAATCATAATCAATAATTTTTCAAAATTTTTAACTTAACCATACTTTCACGTGTAACGCCACACGTAAATGTAGTTAAAATCATTTTAATTTCAAACGGGAATGCGGCCCACCAAAAAAAGGAGTAAGGAATCGAGTATAGCTAGCTGATTGGTTGAATTAAGTTTATGACCTAGACACCAACTTTTTGACCCTGGGTGACCACCCCAACAACATCCCCCCCCCCCCGCTAACCTTTTCTGTTTCAGAGACAGCCAGGATCAAGAAACGAAGACAACGACACACACACACATACACACCCCCCATACCCTCCTTACCCCTCCCCTCCCGCNACACACACACACACACACACACACACACACACACACACACACACACACACACACACACACACACACACACACACACACACACACACACACACACACACACACACACACACACACACACACACACACACACACACACACACACACACACACACACACACACACACACACACACACACACACACACACACACACACACACACACACACACACACACACACACACACACACACACACACACACACACACACACACACACACACACACACACACACACACACACACACACACACACACACACACACACACACACACACACACACACACACACACACACACACACACACACACACACACACACACACACACACACACACACACACACACACACACACACACACACACACACACACACACACACACACACACACACACACACACACACACACACACACACACACACACACACACACACACACACACACACACACACACACACACACACACACACACACACACACACACACACACACACACACACACACACACACACACACACACACACACACACACACACACACACACACACACACACACACACACACACACACACACACACACACACACACACACACACACACACACACACACACACACACACACACACACACACACACACACACACACACACACACACACACACGCACCCGCAGCCGCACCCGCACGCGCACCCGCACGCCCCCGCGCGCGCGCACGCACGAACGCACGCACGCACGAACGCACGCACGCACCCACACACACACACACACACACATACATCTTACCCCTCCCCTCCCGCGCTAGCCTAAGGGCTACCTCAGCAAAGCGCATCCCAGGCTGCATCGCCGCACTACCCTACCCAACCATACCACACATAAACATGACACCACCCCCGGGGTTTACACAGACGAGCCGGCAAAACAAGAACAGCGCCAGAAGAAAGGGCCCCAGCCGGCGGGGCCCAGCCAGGACAAAAAGAGGTCCACAAAGCGCCTACACCGGCCGCATTTGCGGTCGGGGTAGACGACGGATGGGGCCCACCTACGAAGGCTGTCCAAAGAGGGATAATCCTCCTCGATCCCAAATCATTTAGGCCAATTTCTAGCCATGGAATAATAGCGCGTGGCGGTTGAATTAAATGTAGCGCATTACTGTCGAAGTTCTGTGTACGAAGCATTAGCCTGCATTAGCTCTATCTCTCTCGCACACGTCCGTGCGATTGTCGTTTATATTGGCCCAATGACAGTTGGGCAGTCCAGTAATTTATTAGGTCTATGGTACCGACATTTTATTTTCTCTTTTTTCTGTTTTTATTTGTGTTATTTTCATTATCTATTAGCTTGACAGATTGTTGACTAAATGTATTTTGAATAAACTAACAATTAACTACCTCATTTTCCAATATTTAAGTAGGTACGCGTTTCGTAGTTAAATTTATATTGTCGTATTCCACCCTTCGAGCGAGCTTCAGGATTTCAGAACACCCCGTATATTCATAGAAGTCATAATCTTGTACCTACGGATATGCCGGAGACCGCTGAATTNCCATGCCGACCAAACACCGCATTCAGATCATATTCCGCGACATGGCGCTCGACGTGGGGCTCGAAGTCCAGCTTCGACGTCTTCGCGGCGAGCTCATGTTGCTAATTCCCTGCACAATTCTCAAACATTAGACACAAACGGTCATATATCACGACATGGCGCCCAACGTGGAGCTCGATTCGAACTTCCGAGGTCTCCACCAAGGGCCCATGTCGTCGTTACCGATCCCATCGATCATATTCCTCGACATGGCGCCCAACGTGGGGCTCGATTCGAACTTCCGATGTCTCCACCGAGGGCCCATGTCAATATGGCCGATACAAACGATCATGCTTCACGACATGGCGCCCAACGTGGGGCTCGATTCGAACTTCCGATGTCTCCACCGAGGGCCCATGTCAATGTCGATATGGTCGGTCATTACGATCATATTCCTCGACAATGTTTTGAGTAATTTAATAGATTTAATTATAAACTTTGTGACAGTAGGTACCTATTTAATTTGATGAAATTAAATTTTAAATTGTCTAAACAGTTCTGAAAGATTTATCCTAAAAAAAATCTTGATACATTATTTGGCTTGGCAAACTATGCGCTGGCTGACATAGGTAAAATATAAAATTGTATCATTTCTTTAAAATTATTAAATTAAGTATACACATTTTTTTTAAACTAATCGCAACCGCAAAAATAACTTCAGACTCATATTCAGCACCTTATAGTAAATAATTACCAGTGTTATTAATTACTATTTAAGTTAATTTGGTACTCACCAAATTCGACAAATCCGCTATCCTTTTTGCCTCTCATACCCACGAAACCAGAACGGGCTCTTTTGTATAACATATCCGGGTAAGTTCCTTTCCATAATTGCATATACGCAAAGGGTTTGTTCTCACTATTTGTTATAGAACCGGAGGGTGCAATCCTCACAGAAGTCTCAAGTGTTTCGGAAACTGACAATGGTTTATCTTTAGTCTTGAGTATATTGGCGGAATAATTAAATTTGTTAATTGAGTCGTATATTGAATCATCTCTAGATTTTCTTCCTCTGACCAGAGTTAAACTTGAGAAAGTGTGATGATCTTCAGATTTGGTAGTAAGTATACAGAGAACAGTGAATAAGAGGATTTGTATAGAAAGAAGCGTCATAATACTGAAACAAATATTCATAATTTAAAATTTATACAGAGCAAACCATTGATAGATAAATCGCATTTCAGAATAAATAAGCAAGATATAAATTGCAGAAGTTTAATTTTAAGACAGTATGTATAAAGCTGATCCATTTTGGATGGGATTATAAGGTTCACTCAAACAGTGATGAAAAGAAAAAACTAAAAGATTTCGTGTTTATGTTTTAGTTTTGCTGGTTAATTTACCGATATTCGATATACAGACAAATTAGCCCCTGTGTAGTATGAGATATCAAAAATAAGTTTGAAGAAACCCACTGAGGTTTGTTATCCCTAATGAAATAACCTAAGTATACAGGGTGTCTCACGGTGACGGCCCACTAGAATTATTTCAGAGAGTACTTCGATTTGAATTTAGAAAATTTGGGATACCGGATTTTCGGGCATGCCCTCCTCAACTAAAATAATGGCGTCTACGTACCACTTCCGGTTATACCGGAAGTCGCCATCAACTTGCTTATTTTAAATGGAACACCCTATACCTACCTATATTATTGCAATTTTGGATTCTACGTGTTATTTTAGGTGGACTTTTATGAAGTTTCCCTATTCCTAAAATTAACCGTTTTCGAGATATTTAATGTTTTTCAAAAAAAAATGGAGGGAAACAGTGTCTAGCTTCAAACATGTGTATTCTATAGTAAGAAAGATAATGCAACAATATTTATAGGGGGGGGGGCAGCTAGACCCCTAAGCTGTCCATACATATTTTCAAAGTGACTTAATTGCATACAGGGTGCTAGAAATTTAATGCCGAGTTTAGTTAACTTCAAACCTCCATAAGTCGTATTTTTTAAATGAAACACCCTTTACGTCTTTCTATATTCTGATACACAATTTTATTCTCCTTCGAACGGTATCAGGGTTCCCTATACCTAACTCTTCTAGTTTTTAAGTTATCCACTATGTTTTGTGTAATCACCTAAAATCATGTAATTTCTTGCGAGGACAGCTGTGGAATTTTTAGCAAAACTTCAAAACAAACAACTAAACTGTCAATTTGTTGTTAGTCTCTTGTAGTGACAGTTTAATTTAGTGTTTATAAGAAATGGTAAACAATACATATTCAACTGCTGATATTTTAAATTTATTATTCATTTACGGACGTTGCAATGGGAAAAAGTTAAGAAGAATTACTATTACTAGAGTATGGTCGAATTTGTGCAAAGAATTTTACCAAATCCAATAACTTCAAATGAAGATAATGTAATAAATGTGCTAGCCTATTTTAATGTTCATCCAGAATCCTCAACTCGTGCCGCAGAGTATGATTTACGCATTTCACGAGCATCCATTCACAGGATGTTAAGAACTAATGATATGCATCCATACAAATTTAATTTTAATTTCTGCTTTTCATCCGGGTGACGCCGTGCAACGTGTACAATTTTGTGAAACGATGTTAGTGCGATACCAAGAAGATCCACAATTTTTGAACATATTATATGGACAGACGAGTCAAAATTTACGAGTGAAGGTATTTTTAATAGACATAATACTCATTTGTGGTCATTTGAAAATTCTCATGTTATTCAGGAAAGAAACTTTTAAAATAAATTTAGCGTAAATGCTTTTTGTCTAATTAAAGATAACCAAATTTCTTACCATATCTACTAAGAAAATTTAAATGCTGACAGATATCTCAATATTTTGCAAGCGGTTGTGGCAGATTTTCTAGATGATATACCTTTAGACCAACTAAGGAAGTGTTTGTATCAATTAGACGGGGCTCCACCTCACTGTCACAATAAAATCGATCAACAGCTGACTGAAGTGTTTGACGATAGATGGATGAGACCCCTAGAACCGTGGAATTGGCCAGTGAGGTCTCCCGACCTCACTCCATTAGGTTTTATGTTTGGAGAGTAATAAAGCAAAAAGTTTATTCTACACCCGTTGCTTCAAAAGAGGATTTGATTGCTCGAATACGAAGAACGTTCCATGAACTGCCTGCAGCTGAAATAGCAAAAGTGGTGACTGATGGTGCTAGAATCCACAAGTGCTTAGCTGTTAATGGGATTCATATTGAACACTTATGACTTTTTAAAGTCATTTTTTTATTTTAGTGCATTATTATTATCAACATACATAATTAAAATTGTGTATTACTATGTATGAAGTTGATTTTTTAGAATTCTTCTTAACTTTATTCTGCTCATTTTGGTGGAAAATGTGGAATTGTCTCATTAAAAACTGTAAATGTTCTGATTAGAATCCTATTGCAATGTCTGTGAATAAATAATAATAAATAACTGGTGACAGTTTAGTTGTTTGTTTTGAAATTTTGCTAAAAATTCCACAGCTATCTTCGCAAGAAATTACATGATTTTAGGCGATTACACAAAACATAGTAGATAACTAAAAAACTAGAAGAGATAAGGATAGGGAACCCTGATACCGTTGGAAAGAGAATAAAATTGTGTATCAGTATATAGAAAAACATACAGGGTGTTCTATTAAAAAAACGACTTATGAAGGTTTGAAGTTAATTAATCTCGGCATTAAATTTGTAGCACCCTGTATGCAATTAAGCCACTTTGAAAGTATGGACGGGAAGTTTAGGGGTATAGCTACCCCCCCCCCCCTATAAATATTGTTGCTTTATCTTTCTTACTATAAAATACACATGGTTTAAAGCTAGTCACTGTTTCTTTCAATTTCTTTGAAAAAAATTAAATATCTCGAAAACGGTTAATTTTAGGAATAGGGAAAGTTCATAAAAGTTCACCTAAAATAACAAGTAGAATCCAAAATTGCAATAATATATAGGGTCTTCCATTTAAAATAAGCAAATTGATGGCGACTTCTGGTATAACCGGAAGTGGTACGTGGACGCCATTATTTTAGTTGAGAAGGGCACGCCCGAAAACCCAATATCCCAAATTTTCAAAATTCAAATCGAAGTAGTCTCTGAAATAATTCTAATGGGTTGATGTTCGCACTCAACGAAGGCAATGTTTTTTTAGAAGGCGTTCACCGCGCAACTATTCTGTTTATTTCTGCGTATAAAACAAATAAACACAATACATTTCCAATATAGAATTATACCTAAATTATAAAATTTATATAAAATTAAAAATAATTTAAAATTGCACAACCAAACGGAAATTTTAGGTGAAGCGGTGCGTCACTTGCGTCACCTGGTGAGCCGCCACTGCATCCTCCCTGTCTTTTAAGACGTCAACTAAAAGGGTAGGAGACGTTCGCAATGCATGTCCACCGTACTCTTTCCAGTTGTCCAGCTTCAAAAATTTTGCCACTTCTTGCGAGACGGCACTGATTTTATGAATAGGTACCGACCGCAATTCCACTAACTTATCTGAGAAATAGTCCACGTTTTACCAATCCGGGTGGACGTAAAGCAACATATTTTCGATAAAAACTTAAATAATTGTCTCCCAGCGCAGTAAAAGAACGAAGTCTCTTGATTTTGGTATTGGGAAATTTTGTAAATAAGGCGGATTTCGCATCTTCAACGTTATCAATTGTTAAATTGACTAATTCATTGCAACGGCATGCGCCTGCAACACTCAAGATTAGGACGACCTATAAAGAAATTTTTAAAAAAATTTAATTCTCGTATTTTTAAAGCGTTCACCCGCGATTTTTTCAGTACATATCCCTCATTTTGTCTCTTGAGAAAAACATAACAGAACATAAAACGTAACTTTGAATATTTGCTTATATCAATCAATTGCTAAGTTTGAGAAATACACCATCAATACATTTTCTGAATACAACTTAATGTTTTTCTCTTTGCACCAATCCATAAAACTTTTGGTAGACACATTCATAAATTTCACGACATTCTTTGGGAGAAGATTCAAAGAAACCTCTTTTGCAATGGTACACCTAAATCTTCATTAGATTCCATTTTTACAGAGTTTTCAGCAAATTGAACCACAAACAATCAGAAATTAACTCAATTAGCAATATGGCGACTAATGTTTGACAAAGTATCCATGACTACATCGATATATCCTACTTACCTACTGTGCTATATAATTCTTTAGTTTGAATAGTTTCAAAGCGCAAATTAATAATTAAGTGGGGATTTAGGTTGGAGAAAAAATGACGTTTTATTCAGATTAAAAGTGTCTTTTTTTGTCTCGCACACGAAAGTAACTCTTTTAATCCTAATATAACAATATATTATTGTTCTCAATTTGTCACGATGACTTTTTACTATTTTCATTTTTACATAAAAAAATATGTAATTTATTTTAAGTAGCTTTATACTGCCATTCATTTTCCAATGATTTCAGTGTAGTGTAGTTGTTTAACATTATTTTTTACACATAGTTTGAAAATAAAATAAATGAACAAAAGATACTTGACATTTACAAAAAATTATTTGTCTATAGATAAAAATTAAAAATACTATAGGGAAAACTGGGAAATACTGTTACAATATTACAAATAAGAAACCCACCACTATTCATTTTTTATCACAGAAATGAATAATAGTTGGGTATTGCAATGTTAAGTATTAAATATATGTGTTGAAAAAGGATGACACTGACACACTCGTTTTTACTGATACTCTTAAAGAGCTTTCTAAGCAGCAGCAGATGACTTCCCCGCACATGGGTAGAGATTTATGTATCTGTTCTTATTTCAAATGGACTTAAAGTAGGTATATAATAAAAGTAAAGAAATATTACCTAAAATATGTTTCTGTTATACATATTTTATAAACAATGTATAAAATAATAATATAAACTCAGAAAAAACATTAAAGGAGCAGAAAAATTTCCAAATTTTTTTAGTGATTTTTGAAAGGCTGTAGATAACTTCGTGAATAATGGTCGTATTGAGAAAAAAAGAAGCACCTTGAAGCTTTAAGTTTCTACTTTTGAAATCTTCAGATGAAAATTTTTTTTGAGCATTACTTTCGGTGCAATCCAAAGAAATAATGCAAGGCAAAATTTTACAATTTCTTTTTTCCAAACTGCACATG